GTCGCCCCGTCGTCGGAGAGAAAAGTCCTTTGTGAGCTTCCATTTTTTAATTTTAAAATCGTTTATCACGCTGCATTGTAGATGAGGTTTTAAAAGTATTTAATGCAATATAGACTTTATTTGTTGTTTTTTAGAATTGAAATTCAAATAATCTTTGAGTACTATTTCGTTGTTGGAAGAGGTACTAAGATTTTTCTAAGGGTCTTTAGTGAGTCAGCAAACCACGGTGTTCATCTGCAGCTAAAGGGTTTTTGCATTCCAACAACCAAAACTAAACAAATCTAACCAAATCAAATTCATCATATTTTGGTCAGATGATATCAAACTTACAGACCTATGGTCCAGACTAGCACGGGACAGACCCAAAGTGGAAAGCGCTAGAGGAGGCCTATGCCAAGAGGCACACCGAGATTAGGAACATTTTATATATTCATTGTTTTGCTAAAATTTTTTGTTCTCGGAATAAAAGGTTTAATAAATAAATAATTATAAGTCAACAAAGATAGAAAAAAAAAAATACAAAATAAAAACATCATAGTGAAATAAGTTAAAATGTCAGTGTTTAAATAATTTAAGTAATACCTATATCAAGTTATCCATTTTATTCCATGAATATTATTCAATAGCATGTACCTACTTGATTACCTAATCAATAAATTCAACACTACAATATAATTACTTTAATAATAAGCTCCAAAATGTGTATTTTTTTTAGATAAAATGGATTTTAATTTGTTTTTAAACATTGAAATGTTTTATAATGTTCGGGATTTCATTATAACTTTAAAGCAAAGTCAAACTTAAATTATTGTTTCAACCATGTTTTTAACGTCAAAAAAGATACACACACTAACACATTTATTTTAATTAGACCATTACAGGCACTTTTAAACTTTAAATAATGATACGCTTCAAGATACGCTAAAAGATAAAAAGTCTCAGTTGATCGGCAAGTCCTCTTAGAGACTCTTCCAAAATGTAGAATTCTTAGGAGAAGAGCGAGCAAGAAACTCAAATTTCAATCAGTTTCACAATTATATTCTGAACAATACCAGTTATCCACAGGAATTTCTTAATTCTGTAAACCCGAGGGGCCTCCCACCACATTCTCTCAAATTAAAAATTCTAAGTAAATAATTGGGAAACGACAAAGACGCGGGTGAAACCGCGGGACACAGCTAGTTACATACTAAAACAACCGTGGTTAGAATTACAATAATGTATCCCCAACCCCGGCCCGGAGTAGGAAAAGGTTTTTAGTCAGTAAGAGTCTGACTCTCCCTTCCGCTATACCCTAGGAGAAAGAAGTCATGGGGCACGCCGCTATAGCGGTGGTAAGGCTCGTTCTAGAGGAGTGGCTCAATAGGAGCCACGGCGCCCTCAGCTTCCGGCTGACACAGGTGCTTACCGGACACGGGTGTTTCGGGAAGTACCTGTATCGCATAGATCGGGAGCCGACGTCTCAGAGTCACCATTGCAGTGATTGCCGCGATGATACGGCGCTGCATACATTGTATGGTCCGTCATAATCGTTGAACTATTTCTACGTTAGTTTAATACTATATCCATTTTCCACTGCTTACTTCACGGAATATCCAAATTCAGCGTTTCAATACCTGTTTTTTTTTTCAGATTATATGAAGTGCACAAGTGTCCTTGATTTACAACATTTCCTTATCCAATACGTACCAAATATATTTGAATATAGAACGCAATTTTTTTAAACAATGGGCCACGTTAATTTGTCGTGTACTTATACATATGAAGGTGGAGGAACAGGTCCTAAGTAAATTATTTTGTATCTAAATAATGTTCAAAGAAATAAGACAAAAGCAGATTAGTAATTAAAGTAAAAGAAAAGGTAAAAAAATAATAAATTACTTTCGTATTATAATATTAGTTTGAATTTTACCTACTCTGGTTTAAGTAAAACCTCCTCAACTGTGAAGATTACTCAAAAATAAATTATAGGCGTCGTAAATTCTAAGTTTACAAAACTGTTTTTGAAAATTTCAAAGTACCTTTAGCTATGACATGATGAGAATGTAATTATGTTAACATCAAAGGTTTTTAGTTCAAGAAGGTGCTGGCAAAAGTGTACGCATATTAAATCTGGATGCGGTGTCAGTGACGAATTCGTAAAAAGTGAAAAACTCAATAACACTTTGCTTAATTTAAGAATCCTACTTTTGATAGTCTAGTCGGTCGGCCAATTAAATATCGATTTGGAAACTTCACTAATATGTATTATTATGATTCGTTCGACCTTATCCTTTTTTGTGAGTGGAAGATCATCAAATGACTTCACCCGCCCAGGGAGGGGCGAGAGGGACTGTCAGACTCTTGTTGGCTAAAAACCTCCGTTCCTTCTCTTGCTTGCCTCGCAACCCCGGCTGACCTACCTTGTCCTCCACTGATATATTCTCTTTTTTCATGGGTGCGGTGATAAATATACCTACAATCCTACGTCATATGATGATATGCTCACAAAAAAGGACTGAGACGATATTTATTAAAAACGATCCTAGCAATACATATTACTAAAGATTCCAAGTCAATATTTGATTGGCCGACTCAGTACTGACATTCCTTCTTGCTAAACCCAGGGCGAGAGCAATTATAAGATTTCCTCGCCTCCCCCCTCCCCACTAGAAAAAGTTATATTTTGTTAAATGACGTCATTAAAACAACATAACTAAAATACAAGTGTACACGAATGTACCCAACGTTACGCTTAAAATTTTATAGCCCGTGAAACCGCAGAGAGGTGGTCCCCGTTCCAACGTAATTGGGTTTCGTATATTATTGTAAAGAGCACTTTAAATTATAAACGTTAAAATATATTTTAACTTGTAATTTTGTGATTATTTTAAATTGTATTTTTGGATTATTCGATTTGTAAATATTTTTTTTTTTATAAAAATCAATGAGTGAAGCGTCACTCATTGTGAGGGCAGAGAAGGAGAAATATCATAGTCTTAGACATTTCATCATCTTCATAGTATCCATCTTTGACCAGTTGTATAAGTTTGAGAATACGTCTAGTCCTTGTGTTTTTTATATATTACTAGCAGACCCAGCCACGCGTTGCTGTGGCTAAGGTAAATAATATTGTGACTATAAATTGAGATGTAAGCTATCCTATCTTTCGAGTCGGTTCAAAATGCGCACGGAATGCAAATCAAATTTAAAATCGGTTTAGTAGTTTAGGAGTCCATCGCGGACAAACACGTGACACGAAATTTTTATATATAAAGATTGGACTGCGAACGAGCAGACGGATAAGCTGATGTTAAGCAATAGACACCTGCAACACCAGAGGAGTAACGTCTGTATTGCTACCCTGTTCAGGATTACAGTTTAGGAGACTTAGCAATTGTGTGACATGCCATTAATGTGACTGAAAGTAAGGAAGTTTACCAGGATTTTAGGAGACACTGTGTAGTTAGTATGTACATAAGTGTGCTGTAACAATCGATTAGTTATCGATTAGTCAATTTTAATACTTTTATTGAAATATAAAAAACGGTTCGGAACATGTAACGTCATAAAATATTAACGTCAAATACCATACTAATTCCTAAAAATTTGAGCCGTTAGTGGAAAAAATACTCTGGTTTAATCTTTTGAATAAAGTATCAAACATTATTTTTGTATTATATCTATATTATTTGTACTTGTATAAAAAGGTGACGTTATTTATTTTTGAATTAGAAAACCACACAATTTCAGCTTATCCAAACTAATCTTATAAATGCGAAAGTTACTCTGTCTGTCTGTCTTTTCTTCACGCCTAAACTACAGACAGAAAAGGACATAGGATAGTTTTAAAACCAAAAATTTGCAGAAGTCAATATTTCAAGCGGACGAAGTCGCGAGCAGAAGCTAGTAACAAAATAAATCTAAGTCTAAGTTATATTGGACGCTAAAATACTGTAGATATCATTTTTCGATTTTCACTGTTTTAGTAACCGAACAGGTCAAAAATAAAAAAAAATTGCTAAGAGTTTTCTAATTACAATTATTGCACCTATCAGAACAATGATTCGGGCCTCATCACGATATTTATAGCTATCGACCTCGAACCGAGTGGGGAAAGGCCAAGAGACCTTACCGTGAAACTTATTTACATTTTACTTAACTGACGTCTCAAGCAGATAGTCCGCCATCTTTCTTTTTAATTCCGCATGTCTTCGTAATTATTCGCACGGTTTCGTTCACGTGGCGTCAAGACGTCTGCGACACTCGACTGAAGGATTTTCTGCCCTATTTTCTGTATGATAAAGAAGGAATTAACTTGTAAATTAGTGTGTCTGGTGGCCTGGATTGCGGTGATTGAGTTTTTAATAGTTCACTGTGTTAGAATAAAGAGATTAAAATTTTTATTTTACTAAAAAAGCTAGTAAATTGATAACAATTGATACTATATGTGTGGATTATTTTAGTGTATTTTTATGATAAGTATGTTATCGGCATCGTCCCTAGACACGCGCAATACTAGATGAGTTCGTTGCCGGGCTTTTGGGGATAATGTGTATTGAGAGTTTAGGGATAGGGGAGGAGTGGTGAAAGGAACAATGTTGGTCCTCCGGTGTACACTGTACTTGTTCATGCTGGTTTTCGTTAAAGCCGACCCATGTGTGCCAAAGTTCTCTCTCTCTCCAACACACATTTTTTGTAATTTACAAAAGACAATCCCACTGACACAACTGCCATGATACTATAAGTAGATGGCTTGAATAACTGTATTTTTTGTATCTAAAATAAAGGATAAAAATAATAAAATTATTTTTCTCTTCTGACACGGAGAAGGGCCGAGCATTAATCACCATGCTTGCTTAAGGCGATTTCAATCTTATAATTACTTGATCTAAATTATTTTTTTAAATTTTAAAACATTAGTTTAAAATGTATTTGAATTATTTCCTTTATAAAGTTCATTTGTCCTTATTTCCTTTATAAAGTCACTTATAATAACAACTTTGTCTGTTTGCCCCCAGCCCGTGGTCAAGGAGGGTTACTTGATGAAACAAACGCGCAGTTTCCAGCGATGGCAGCGCCGATACTTCAGGCTGCGCGGGCGCACTTTATACTACGCCAAGGAGAAAGACGTGAGTTGTAGAAAATAAGCCTTTAATTATAATATAGATACTGAATTTAATTATTACACCGATAAACACTGAGAGATTTGCGTCGTGTGGCTACTTTGTTATGCAAAGAAAATAATATGTAAGTGTCTTCGAAATAAAATTATAATAAAAAAAGTAACTATGAAAATGTTTAAAATAAAAGAAAAAAATGATAATAATTATCTTTATTATATCGAAATGAAATTTTCAAATAAATATTCTACATAAAACTTAAACTATACTAATGAGATTTTTATCTATCTTCCGATTGGCGTGATACGATCTAATATCTATGATGGATTCCAATTTACATTCTGACACGGATACCCCCTATATTTGATATGAGCGACAAAATATTGTATTAGACACTTTTCAATATGGCTGACAGTGTAATTTCCAATATTGACACAAGTGGGGCATTCCTGTAAAGCAGTGCGGCGCGCGGTGGCGTCCTCTACGTACTTTAGCCGCTGATTTATTAAAAACTTTCAAAGTTTTATTATTATGAATGTGTTGAAGTTTTGTGTTAAAATGAAGTTAATTTTTAAGTCTTATAATATTAATTTGAAGTGCTTGATTAACAACGTGTTCTTTTACAAAAGGTAACATTAAAATGACCTGAAGCGAAACTTGTTCTAAGTTTTTGCTCAATGCTATGTAATTGAAAAAATCACTGAGAGAATCCACAGTGAATTATTTTCTTTGAAAAGTCTAACCAATGTACTGTGATAAACAGATGGTTATCAATGCCTCATTAATTTCAGAACACACTAGTACACGCACGGGTGCATTTTCAATGTTTGTTTAAAAGAGAACAAATGATCGCCCTCTTTTGTTTTTTTTTTATTTTCTTTATATCACTAATGTGCTCTCGTGCAAAAAGGTTAAAGTACTCGTATGTAGGTAGGTACGTACAATTAATGTATTGATGTTTTTTTTTCTATTTCGATATCGAATAAAGGAGTATGAGATCAATTTTTATAATTATAAATATTTTTGGCTTTATTTATTTTTGAACTCGATTTTTTTAAATTAAAAAGTTTCGTGTATTTTATATTAAAAGAAAAATATTTTCATTTTGAAACAATAACAAAACTTTATAATATAAATAATTCCTATCACTAGCCTTATTCGAATTTGTTTGCTATTCTCTGACATTTCTGCGTGTTTATGTTTTATTTTTATTTCACGTAAACCTCGTTCCATTAATAAGGAAAACAGGCGAAAAAGGAATTATCCAATTGGATGCAGTCATTCGTGAACATTTTGAAGATCCGTTTTATTTATAGAGCTACCTTTTAAATGCCTTTTTTCCTGTTTATATTTGTAAAAATATAAACTGTAAGTCCTGCACAATTGAGTTTAAAATAAAACAAGCAGGAATATAATTATAAATTTATATTAAGTCAGCGTCAAACCGCGTCTGTCCTCATATACGTCAAGTTTGGAAATGACTACGATGGCGGTGCCATTTTTGTATTAATTATTTCAAATTATGTTTTATTACTTGTTATTATTGCGTTGTGTTATTTTGTACTCTGTCATGCACTCAGAATACAAAATGAACAATGAAGTTGCTGGGAGCATTTACGCGGAATAGAATACCGTACACTTTTAAGTTGAAATTATGAAAATTACTGAAACAATTTTAATAATACTTTGTACTAAGTCGAGAGAGAAAGAGAGAGAGAGAGAGAGGGTATTTATTTTATATATACACATACATATTATTGATCAATATATTTAAGTAAACAGTATCAAAATCTGCTGCATAGACGCTGTTAATAAATGAAATACAAAATACAAATATAAATGGTTTATTTGGCTGTAATAAGTTGACTGCACGGTTCACGCGGTGGCTGGGCGACCGGCTGTTGTGTTACGTATCGCGGGCTCAGTTCCCGCACGGAACAAAGAGTTTGTTTAATCAAAAAAGTTTTGTTTCGTGTCTGTGACGATTAGGTATGTGAAATTGCATGTTTGTAAACGCACCCACGACATAGAAGAAAATCGTAGTACTTTAAAAAAATATACAAGAGTACCTAAGAAAAGTCCCTTCATTGACACACTCGTATTCAGCCACTTCGCAAACTGTATCACCAAACTTTTCTAAGCGTGACGTCATCATATTTTTTCCTAAAAGTGTCGCGGCATAACTCCCATACACATATAAAACATGACTTCATATTAAGTAGCGCCACTGTGCTCACTTAGTCATTTGGGACACTTTACTCCTCTTTTTCCGCCCCCCTCATCCTACTCCCGTTGGGGTATTAGCTTTTATTACCTTCCACCGTCTTTATGATAAACACTATAGTCATCTTTCTTAGAATCAGCTACTAAATCGTAGCACGTAGGCTTGTCTCGTAGGCTGTCTACGTGCTACGCGCTACGAGCTACGAGTCTACGCCGTAGTAAGGTTGGTCACAGTAATAGAATATTGATTTTGGCTATTTTTAATGTCCGTTTTACGTGTTAAAAATCTTCTATTAAAATAGTGTATTATAGAAAATAATATAGTTTACCAAACAAACCAAAATTGCATACAAGTAAATCTTCGGCGTCACAGTATAAATGTATTTTAAAAAACAATCATAAAATTACTTGCATATAAATATTTTGTGCTATCCACCGGCTAATGACTTTGATTTATCGACGGAAAATAAAATATTTTGCTCAAAATTTATTACCAACACAGGTAGGTAACAGATGTTGGCCAAAATGTATTTATTTTATGAAAGCTTCTGTTTACAAACTAAGACATTAGTTATCATTTGAACAAAGTACGTTGAATGATTTGTTTGGCTTTCGATACGGATAAGATATTACTTTATTTTTTAAATTTCTACGTTCACTTTTCTTTTTCATATAGGTATAGCTGTGAAATGAAAATGTTAAAATTCAGGATGTGATATGGTTCATTTAAGGGCCTTTCCTATTTTTTAAATGATATCGCAGTAAATATGGTTTTTGTTTATCTCTGTATCATAGTTCTAATTTAATCTGCCATTCTGATAACAACTTAATTATAATGACAAAACTCTTTTTTTTTTGTTTTAGGGGGAAAAATCATGTAAATCCTTAATGACATAGATGATTCCATCCACGGTTAGGGAAAATGTTAGACTCTCATTGACCGTTCGGGGCCACAGTGCTTGATCCGCAACCCAGCTTTTAGCTAAATCAGATTATGTCAAAACTAGCTTGCGCCCGCGGCTTCGACCGCCCGGTATGTTGATAAAAAGCAGCCTATGTCTTATTCCGAAGTGTATCCTATACCTGTGCTAAATTTCATCAACATCCGTCCAGCCGTTTTGACGTGATTGAGTAACAAACATGCAAACATCATAACTTTCGCATCTTATATACTTAGTCGGGTCATAAGTTCTGTCAAAACCTTATATTTTTAATTTTCGATTACTAGCCAGAAATTCTTCGACTTATTTTAAAAATAGAACTTTCGCGCTTGTAGAAAATAAAAAAGAAATTATTTTTTATTCATTTTTAAATATGGAGTGGTCGAATAAAGAAGACAGAATCGCGGTTATCGCGTTGCACCGCTGTGGTTACGCGCCAAAAGACATTTTCAATATTCTTCAAAATTTGAAAATAACGTTACGGTTTGTTTATCGTACTATCAAACGATACACCGAAGAGTCAAGCTTCGAAGATCGTAAGAGAAGCGGCCGACCTCGCACAGTTCGGACACATAAGGTCATCAAAGCAGTGAAGGCGCGAATCGAACGAAATCCCGTACGTAAACAAAAAATCCTAGCTCTGCAGATGGGGCTAAGCAGAACCACTGTTAAAAGAGTACTAAATGAAGACCTGGGACTACGAGCTTATCGTAAAAAGACAGGACATTTTTTGAACGAGCGTTTAAAAAAAATTAGGCTAGACAGATCCCGCGCTTTGCTACGACGGTACGCGGGAAAAAAATACCGCGAAATTCTTTTTTCGGATGAAAAAATTTTTACTATTGAAGAAAGTTTTAACAAACAAAATGATAAGGTGTATGCCCACAGCAGTGAAGAAGCAAGCGCGCGTATTGCGAGGGTCCAGCGTGGGCATTACCCTTCCTCATTCATGGTTTGGCTTGGAGTCTCATATTCAGGCGTAACTGAGGTGTTTTTCTGTGAAAAAGGTGTGAGAACTAGTGCCGAAGTTTATCAAAATACTGTCCTAACAAACATAGTGGAACCTCTTTCTCAGACAATGTTCAGGAACAGGCATTGGATATTCCAACAGGACTCTGCACCGGCTCATAAGGCACGAAGTACGCAAGACTGGTTGATCGCTCGTGGAATTGACTTCATCCGGCATGAAGACTGGCCCTCTTCTAGTCCAGATTTAAACCCACTGGACTACAAGATATGGCAATATTTGGAGGAAAAAGTCTGTGCTAAACCTCACCCGAATTTGGAGTCTCTCCGAGCATCTCTGGTTAAAGCAGCGGCAGACATAGATATGAATGTGGTGCGTGCAGCGATCGATGACTGGCCGCGTAGATTAAGGGCATGTGTTCAAAATGGGGGAGGGCATTTCGAATAATGTAAATAAAATTATATTGTACATTTAATGACCTTTCATTTCATATATAATTTTTAAATAATTGTCAAAAGGCGTATAAGTTATTACATCAAAAGTTTGTGACAGAACTTATGACCCGACTAAGTATATAAAAGAAAGTCGTGTTAGTTACACCACTTATAACTCAAGAACGGCTGAACCGATTTAGCTGAAAATTGACAGGGAGGTAGTTTAGAGCCAGGAGAAGGACATAGGATAGCATAGAGTAGGTAGAGTAGGTTAGGTAGAGTAGGTTAGGTAGAGTAGGGTAGGTAGAGTAGGTAAGGTAGAATAGGGTAGGTAGAGTAGGTTAGGTAGAGTAGTTTAGGTAGAGTAGGGTAGGTAGAGTAGGGTAGGTAGACTAGGGTAAGAAGAGTAGGGTAGGAAGAGTAGGGTAGGTGGAGTAGGGTAGGTATAGTAGGGTAGGTAGGGTAAGTAGAGTAGGGTAGGTAGGGTAGGGTAGGTAGGGTAGGTACAGTAGGGTAGGTAGGCTAGGGTAGGTAGGGTAGGTACAGTAGGGTAGGTAGTCAAATGACGGGAGCGACGCCGCGGGTAAGAGCTAGTTTATAATATTAGTAAGATAACAAAAGATAATATTGGTGATATTATCTTTTCTTCTTTAAGTCTGAAGTTCATGGCTTTGGGAATTATTCGTCAATAAGTTTTGTCATCGGCTCGATCAATCATAATACATAATTATTTTACCATAATGATTGATGGGAACCACACTGTCTAACAGACACAGAGTTTTTTTTCTTTTTGTTAATATCAATGCTTGATACATTTTGTAATATGACAACGGTAAATACATAGTAACAGGGTATCAGTCACGTATTTGTATAAGGCTTGCATTATTGATTACATTTGTTTTAATGGATGAATAAAAATATAGTAATGGTTATATTATCATCAGCCATCTAAGATAATATATTAACGAACAATGGACATTATTTATGGTATGTTCCGCCTCTTTTGTTTAAGTACTCGACAAACTAATGCGACACACTGTTCTAACAAAATAGGACTGACTAAATGATGTAACAAAGTAATGAATAGTAAAACTGATTGGAAAAGAGTAACCATGGAGTTTCCTGCGTGCTTCTCCATAGGAATCTACACTTTGCAACGAGCAAATAGCTTCACTAGAGGACTGACCGTCAGACTGGACACACACAAAGTTGAATTTTTGGTATTTACTTTTTTGTTTGACTTAAATAAGTGCCTATAAATATAGGTGCGCACATAAGTCTTTTTGAAATAAATGATCTTAATTCGACGGGGTTCAAATAAAGTATATGCCATAAATGTATCTGATACATAGTTATATAACAATACTTTGCTTTTGACTTTTGAACCAAACTTTTTTTTAATGTTGTTTGTTCGTAGGAAAATTCCTGTTCACATACCCATCACAATCAGACCAGAAACAATAATTTATGGAACACACAAAGTGTTTGTGCAGGAATCGAACCCTCGACAAGTTACACATCAGCCACGCCACTACGCCAACTGTGCAACTAATAAATAACTTAATTTAAAAAGTTCTAAAATTAAATACATCTTTAAAATTTAACTTGACCTGTGGACGCTTAAAACCACAGTTGACCTGTTTAGCTTTAACTGGAAATAATTTAGTTAAATATAAGTAAATATATTCTGAATTTGTATTTGACCTTATTTGGCCTAGATATAGTTATTTCCGATTCGATCTGACTCCGGAACTAATTCGGGATTCGCTTACGTCATGTTTTTAGTTTTGTTGTATGAACACTTTTTGTGCTCTTCATATTTTTTTTTCTCCAACCAAGTACTTGTTATATAATAAATTGTTTATGTTGTACTTATTCAATGATCAATGATTTTTATTAACAATCAGTTAAGCGATTTTATTGTTTTTTATACATAATTGATATATAGAAAACAGTAACGTTCTGATATTACATTTTCTTTGAGACATAAGCTGTATGTTAAATATATAACATGTCAACAACACACAGCAAAAAATAAAACAAAAAAGAAAGATTTAAAAAAAAAATATTTACAGCTTTGTGAATTAATGTTAAATGTTAAATCAAGTGCCAATTTGAACCTTATATTTAAACAAAGTATTCTATAATCGTCCACATCATTTGAATAAGTGAACATGTTGACCCTTATGCCTGAATAATGCCCTCTCAGTGTGCTTAAATACACTCCCGACTTTAATATTTAAACGCCAGGCTGTACCCGCGTAGCGTCGTAGCGGGGCGGAGACAAAGGCCTACAGCTTACTAGATACGCTAGCGTACTACGCTACGCAGACTAACACTTTCCTTTTCTAACGTAGTACATACTAGTTCATCGCTGAAACAAGTGTAAAAGAGATAGCGTAACGGTGTCATCCCTATTTGTAATGCCTCATCCATAGTCGTGTATGTCAGCGTTGTACACCTGCTTCGCCGAGACTGCTCGGCGCCTCGCCCGCCTAGACTTCGTCAGTCGCGCTTTCGGCGCTGCGACGGGCACACGTTCAACCTATGTCGGTCGCAACGAAAAATAGTGCGATATAAAAAAATAAAAATCATTAATGAAAATTAATTTTAAATTTTCTATTTCGCAATAAATTATGCCTTACAAGTGATCTTTGTGCGTACTATGCCTTGTCTGTAAGTTTTAGTGTTGTAGTGTGAGTGTTTCTTCGTAAATTTGACCTGGTTTTTATTTTGATAACTCTTGCACAATTTTTGCTGTACTGTCCTGATCACCTGGATTTGCAACGTAAGTACTAATATTATTGTTTCGTCTGAACTCTTCATTTCACGTGGCAGACAAAATTTTGTCTTGTTTCATTAATGTTTGCGGTCAATTTTGTGTGCGTACCAAAAGACCGAATTTCGTGATTGTTGTTTTAAGTTTGTGTTTATTCTTTCTGTGATAGTAACATAATGAGAACTTAATGATGATAAAAATATATTAATGAAAAGTTTCAAAAACTTGCTCTATGTTCTAAATTATTTATTACACGACCGCGAAAATAAGTTAAAAATCTACATTTTCTAAATTACGTAATTTAGAACGAAAAGATAAAACAACATTAAAATTATAAATATGATCATATATTAAAAAATATTATTTTAAAATTAAAATAACAAATTAGTGTTTAATAGAAAAAAAACTGAAGTATTTGTGAAAATTATTTAATAACATTTTGAGTGTCGTAAAATATACATTCATAAAAATAAAATTCGTACTAAGCAATACAAAAGTATCTATTTATGAATTGTAATTAAGTAAAAGTAAAAAAACAAAATTGAACGCCATACTAAACATTTTAATTCAATCACATCACTACAGGTATTACTACCTTTTTTACGGTGTATCTATCCTGCCTCATAATTGAAGCACCTGATCCATCAGTAATGAAAAACCTGCTAACGTTTGCACTTTAATTTCGGCATTCTCGGCAACCGCAATACATAAAACCCCGGTACCATTCGCATTATTTACCTTACACTCTGTATGCGGTTGGAAAAATCAGATAAAACTTTTATTTTAAGTAAAACAATGTTAGCGAATATTCTTCGTTTGCTCCTATTTACATTCATACAGAGACAAAATAATACAAAAGAGCTCTTGTATTTATTAAAAACGCGAGACAATAGTTTTCCAAGATTTTCTGTGTAGTATAACTATTCAAGAAAATTATTTCTTATTTTCTTTCTATTACGGTGCATTGTTCACTGACTTTTCGTTATTAAATCCTTTTCTTCGTAGCTCGAGTGTAGTCGAAACATTTTAATGTGTGTAGCATGGATTCGGGAACATTATCCTTTTGGAAATGAAAAAAAAAACAAAAGACGTAAGCATTTTTTTAGTTATTTTTGTTATTGTGTATTGTACTCTAATATTTCCGTATTAACATATCACTAATTCATATTAGTAATTGAAAAACGTATGTGGCACATTGTTAATTCGTTCTTTATTTTTATCTAGATTATTATGGCTATCCAACATTGTGAAATAGGCCCTAAATTGTGTATAAGAATTGTGTTGTGTGCAGGTACGAAAATTTACTTAATAAAAACTCTATCGCCAGTTACAAAAGATATGACTTCATTAAAACTATATAATTTAGTTTAACAATACCTACTGGGTCTGTAACTAGTCCATCTGCATTTTCTTACCTACCTACCAAATAACTGTGCAGGTTATATACACATAGTATCATTTTTTAGAGAATAATTTTCCACTATTTCATAATGTTTCTTCTCTGATCATCGCCTGAGAACTTTAGTAAAGAACGTAATATGGATGTTTGTATAATATCTAATAACTTGAGAAATGTAGATATTGGGTTGTGTCAACCCAGTGCAATTAATATGAACCCGGAATTAATTTAAAGCAATCAAGTCTTACTTGTTCCCTCATGCATTTACAGCAAAGTTTAACTAACGAACCAATTAATTATTTTTTAAATTACCTTATAATATTCTGACTCAAAAATTCTAAGGAGAAATAATAAATAAATGAAACAAGTTTACCTATTCCTCTCCCTTAAGACTCTTAGTAACTTTCGGAAGAAACTTTCAAATTAATCATCTACGTTCTTTCCAAGTTTCCGGACAGAATAAATAGTAAAGTCAACAGTACAGGTGAAACACGTTTATAATCAATAAAATTGACGTCCCAATGATTTATTCGACATAATAACCGTCTAATGCAAACATGGCGTCGTTTGAATTTGAAAATGGAATACCAATATGGCCGTCTAACGTACTTATTCTGACAGCACAGCACCGAATGACAGTTCAATTTAGATAATTCTATTACTGAATTATTAAATGCAAATTATAATGGAAGTAATTTGGTTGTTTGGTTTAACTTTGAACAGTCCGTTCCGTAATTGGCTTGAAGCCTATCTTCATTGATTAGATACACTAGCTTTTGCCCGCGACGTCGTTCGCGTGGAATAGAGACTTCCTGCATATTTTTGTTTTACGCACATAGTTCCGGATGTCATTGGATTTTTTATAAATTCACGCTCCTGCTGGATTTTTTGGATAAAAACTATCCTATGTCCTTTCTCGAGTTCCAAACTATATTTGTACGAAATTTCACACAGATCGGGTGAGTAGTTTAGTCGTGAAGAAAAAACAGACAGACAGACAGAGTAACTTTCGCATTTACAATATTAGTTTATAGTTGAGATTTAGATTAGATTAGCCAATATTGATTAATGAAAGTCATTAAAGTTAGTTGGGTCCACTGATGAGAAGGGAACTATGTGAAGTCGTAGTGTATAATGTAATATTGATTACTTGAGAGTGTGCCCAGGAATTGCACGATTTGATTCCGCCATCCCAATTCGGACATCCCGGCGTACGGCGAATATCCACCCCTACGTTGTTGAGACACCTGCGGCCCGGACTAAGCGTTTTGCCTCGTCATTTATACCGCGTACATCGAGGGATTGGAACAGTTTGCCGGCTGCAGTCTTTCCGTCCGAATACAACTTAGGTGTCTTCAAGGCTAGAGTGAATAGGCTCTTAATAAACTAGTGCGCCTTACCATCAACGATTGCATCACTGCTTAACATCAGGTGGGATCGCAGTCAAGCACTGGTTTATTGCAAGTAAAAAAAAAAAAAAAAGCAAAAAAACTTACAAGCAATCAATATGATTTTCGTCTTGGACTCCTATTTACTTAGTAGGTGTAGATTATCACCATATTGGTATGATTATGACCATATTTGTATCAAACAATGTATCCTTCTTGGAAGGTTGGTCTTGAATTAACAGTTTTATTACTGTGCATGATATGAAAACGCCTTGCATGAGGGTACGAAACTACTCCTGCGAACTACTACTGACTGCACGGAACTGGCTACCGTGAAACGAGTTGCGGGTTCGATTCCCGGACGGGACAACACTGTGTGATCCAGAAATTGTTGTTCCGGATCTGGGTGGTTGTCGATGCGAATTTGTATGTTTGTAAATGCAACCACGAGACAGGAGAAAATACCAGGGTGGGGCAACTTTATAAAAAAATAATCTCTGCCAACCGTGCAGTCAATCACTTTATCTTAGAAATTTAAAGAAACATTTAAAATGAGAATATAAATATTATATACCTTCCTTTCCCTATAAGTACGTATAAACCTTTCAAAGACTTTGACATAGGTTTATTGGCACATTGATCCTAAAGCATATTTGTTTTCAAGGTATAGCTAAAGTGCTATGATCCATAAAAATGTGTAATGCACGTAAATAAAAAAATATACTATAAACTGTTTTCAAATGAGAATGTATTTGAAAATGATGTCTAAACTAGCTTTTGCCCGCGACTCCGTTCGCGTGGAATATTGACTTCCTGCAGATTTTTGGTATAAAAACTATCCTATGTCCTTTCTAGAGTTCAAAACTATGTCTGTACCAAATTTCACAGAAATCCGTTCAGTAGTTTAGGCGTGGAGAAAAGACAGACAGACAAGCAGAGTTACTTTCGCATTTATAATATTAGTTTGGATGTATATATGTCTCTAAGTTTCATAATTATATGGTATGGTGGCAAATGAGCTCATGGATACTATGGACGTTCCAAGCCTTTTGGGGATAAGTGATCTAGGGATTGGGGAGGGATGGGAATAGGGATATTATTAGTCAATCGGTATCCTTACTTTCACACGGCGAAACACAACGCTATGGCTGTTTCAAGCCGGTTTTCAGCTTGTTTGGTTTCACAAAAATTCTTAATGGTAGCGCGAAGTTCAAAGTTATTAGCTGTACGTAGTAAAGAGCTCACCAAACCGCTGAATGCTGTATGTGACATTGTAAAAAACCTTCCCCTTTAAGAATGTATTTTATTGATTTATTTATTCCTTATGGTATACTCGTACATAGCTGAACTAATATATTACAAAATTGTAGAGTTTGTTTGTTTGTTTGAACGCGCTAATCTTTGGAACTACTGGTTCGAATTGAATATTTTTGTTGTTGTTTTTTTTTCATTTATCGACAAAGGCTATATAGGCCATAAAACATCACGCTACGATCTCCAGGAGCGGAGTGAAACCGCGAGGAGGTAGCTTGTATGTACTTATAAATATTAACATATACACTTCAATTCTAGTTAATGCCTTTAACATTTACAAAGGTACAAAGGAAATTGTTATTTACGCGAACATTAATTACTATATGTAACGTAAACCGTTACAGAATAAGTTATACGAAATCAAACGTTTGGATATTAGCAGTGAGCACAAAAACTCCTTTGATCTCCAACCTTTTAATATCATGATAAAATAAACCGTAGCCTCGGAGCTATGGAGCGATGTTTGCCTAAGTTTTGGAAATTATAATAAATATACCATAATTTTATTCAATTATATACCATCATTATTTTTCCGTATTACACAAACAATTGCAGTAGTTAATATTATTATTATTTAGTACCTACATGACTAAGCTGTACTTTTTTCTGAAATTGAAACTTATCTATTTTTTTTCATCTATTATTTTTCAGCTCCGAACCTCTTTAGTTCGTACAAAAAAAGTTACATTG